CTTTTTGAACATTAGAGAATTCAACCTCGTAGCCTTACAACACAGACAGAATACAGTTTTGTTGGCAACGAAACACAGTGGTGGTCAGCACAGGTCTCTGAGACACATTTGGGTTGTGAACAGTTCAGTTATGTTTCCCATGCTGGGCTTATGCTGCAGTAAAAGCAGTTAGGCTCTCCTCACATAAAACATTAGTGGAAAATCAGATCTGTGACAAGATGAGAAAGCAAACTGGGAAAGACTGCTGAGATCAACAGTGTTGGCATCTTGGATACATATTGCACGTTCAGCTGTGCAGTGGAGCAGCAGGGATACTGGGGAGCCACCCCTCTCCTATGTTTTTGTTTCTTTTCTTCGTCTCCCTCTTCTCCTCAGAGATAATGTGTGTGAGTTTGCTGTAGGGTTTGCTGTGGGTTTGCTGTAGTTTTGCTGGTCTTTTTGAAATCAGTCATTTCCAAGAAGAGTGATTACTAATTATCAACTTTATGTTCCCTTACTCTTTTTGAGTGCTTTTTCAAGCAAAATTCCATTTTGAAGGCATAAAATTAACAGATACAGTAGTTAATGATGGCAGCAGAAGGGAATTCTTGTGCTTTATGATTGAATCTGAAAATTACTTCTAGACTTTTCATTGTGGGTCTGTAATGTTCTTTAACTTCTATCAGTAGTGAAGTTTCAGTGTAAAGAGCTGGAGACATCTGGCTCCATCTTGCTGGACTTAAGTTTGCATCTTTGATTTTCCTTCCTGGAAGCCTGGTTGATGTGCTGTAGCCTAAAATTGGTGTTTGTGCTAACACATAAGGCTACACTGATGCTAAAGAAGTTTGGGTTTAACCGCATGCTGGTCTAGAACAAAAGATTAGTGTGAACCACAGCCTGAGAGATTCTTTTCCACTAAACCTTCTTGTCAGAACATCTGTTTTAATGCCTCTTTACAGCACAAGGAAAATGCTGAGGAATGTTGATATTAATGCTAATAAAGCTCTTCAATGCCAAGGAGGTATTCTACGAAGCTACCATCATCTTCTAAAGAAGATTTGCTAAATAGATTCTCTTTTCCAGTGGAAGCTGGGCACTGTGTAAATGTAATGGCTACTGGTAATATGTTTTCCAAGGAATTTTTGCCTTAAAAAAAAACACAGAACTCGTAGTGTACTGTACCACGTAAGGCAATAAGTAATTACTTTTCTAATTTTTCTGCATAAACAATGTGTGCTGTAATAAAATGAAAGAATTTGTCTATGCGAACATTTGACTTTCTCATGAAAGATTTGTCTGAACTGGGCCCTCGTGCTGGTTCATGTCCACATAACTCATCCTTTACAGTCATGGACTGATGTGACACAGGGTAATAGAAAGTGATGCATTGCCTGAATTTAAAGGAACATGGACTATTTCAGGATCGGCTGTGCAGCATGAGATCTGTATCAGATTTGAAACAAAGCTAACCAAGCAGACAGAGCAGTAAGATATCTATACTGTCCATTAATCAGTATATACTATGCTGTTGCTGGTTTCTTTTTTTTCATTTTGGCTTTTCTGTGTGTCCACCATCTAATGTTATTTGCCTGACACCTTTTTAAAGCCAAGACAAATACAAAAGGTTACTTGGGAAACCATTTACAAATCTTTTTTCCTCTCTCTGTTCTTTAATTTCAATGCAAAAAATCATACTTTTCTGACCCCAAATACCCCACCAGCATTGTAGATCATCAGTATGTCTACATAAGCTTATGTTAAAATATGAAGAAGTCAGTATTTGTTTGTTGCTGGAGTTTGTTGTTCAAGTGTTCTTTCTGTGTGTATGTACATGTACTTTTATCCCTTGCATTTGGCAGGACCCAATGATGGTAGTGCTCACCCCAGAACACTCCCAAAAAACCTACCTTACTCTTCAAGAAAAGAGTGACATTCGTCTAAATTTCTTGTCATATTAGTAAACTCAGATTAGCTAATAATTAGTAATCTCAGATTCAAGTTATTAGAGAAGCAACGTAGCTCTTCATTGTTAAAAGGCCAATGCATTTTGCTGCAATGTATATTTAGATGGCATCTTAAGAACTGGGTTTATTTATAATCTATATGCTTCTGAGGAGCTAAACCCACACTTTATGCAAGAAAAAGTTTTGAATTATCATCCTCAGTTTTTCTCTCTGGTGTCTACTTGAGAAAATGGACCAGAAACTTCGGGCCCCCGTTATTTTCTTCTGAAAGAATAGTCATCAGTGCTGGTGCTCTGCACTCTTCCCATCAACACCCAGCAACTTTCTTTGTCTTTGCATCTGTTTGTCCTTTACTTCAGTTTAATCCAAGTTTAGTTGTACTGTATCCGGATATTAGGAATCCCAATACAAAACTGTTTTCAGTTATGATGGCCTTGGTGCAGAATATTTCACTAAATTGTTGGTAGTAAAAAGTGTGGTATTTTAAACAAATAAGTAGAACTAGGTTTTTATTTTGACTTTGGTTAACTTGTAAGCCTTTTGTTAGAAATACTATGGAAAAGAAAGTATTTTCTTGATGCATTACAAAAAGCTGTACGAAACATACATTTTTTTTAAGAAAATACTGTCATAAATTATTCCTTCCTTCTGTTTTGAAATTTCATGCTGTGCCTCCTCAATGTTCTATTACTTTCTATCACTCCTCTCTTGTTATGGTATGTGTTTTAACATATTTTTCTAGGAAAGTTCTTATTAGGATCACCCTAGCACTGCTGATCTTTACATGTGTCTTCTGCCAAAGGACTATTCAGATTACCCAAAGTCAAAACACAAACCTGACAGTCATCAGTGGAATTTGTTTAAAAGAGCAGAAATTCTTTTTAAAGATGTCAAATGTTGTGTACCACAGACTTTGCATGCAAAGAACCTTTCTGCTGAGATCATTGTAGCAGAGAGAGCACAGTCCTTACACTTAGCAAAAATTGCGCATTTATCAAATAAACAAACAGGTTGTGTGCCTTTAAAAAGGTTTTCATAGCAACGTATTTTGTATTTCCTTAAAAAATTAATGCTGCTCTCTCCATAGTATTGCTGTGACATTGTGTACTATGAAGTTTTAAAGCCAGACACCTTCTAGCAATAAGAACTTCAGAAGTAAAGCCTGCTGAAACCATCTGAACTGCTTCAAAAAGAGCAGCCTCCTCTCAGGGTTCAGCTATTTTTCCCAAGTTTGAAATTCTAACCTGGTAAATAGCATCAACGGGGGAGTTTTCCCCCAACTCTTTTGGAGAACCCCACAGATATGAATATCTTCAAAGGAGGATCTGTTAAAAAATGTAACAGTCTTCAAAGGGGAAACACCACCCTCAGCAATCTGAAGTTCTTTAAAGTGGGAGCCCACCAGCACTAAGAATCCTCAGAGGACTAACTCCCAGAGCACTGTGAAAATTTGTAAGAGAACAAGCCCTCTCTCACAAATACCCAGTAGGCTATTATTTTCCTTTAAAAGGACTCTTACATGTGTACATTTATAATTACAGAAAGGGTCTTATTTAACCAGAGCCCTGTAGAACTCTATTACTTTAAAAACAAATATTGATTAAAAGAAAAGAATGAGAGAAGAAAACAATTTGGCTTTACTATTTTCCTTTATCTTCTTTTATTCATAACTGATCTCAATATAATATACCAATAACACTTGGTTCATGTAGCTCTTTTGATCTCTGGAACTCAAAAGTATCCTTCAAGAGTTGTGAAGAAATATTCTGAGAGCACAGTTATCAACTTATAATGCTTGTTAACTGGGAGTCCAAATACTCTACCAGGAAGCACATTTATCTCTTTTGTACTGTTGCTGGGTATTCAAGACTTATTTCCTTTAATAAATATTCAAGGGTTTGGTGTTCTCCTCCCACCCTCCCCTGTATTTTAGCATTTTGTTTGCTAGGGGTAGGTAACATAGATAGTAAAGTCATTATCAATGGCTAGAGTTACTTTCCAACATGCCGCAAATGCCCAGATAAGGGCAGCTGCCAGCTGCCATGCTGGCCAAAAGGAGAGACGTGCTGAGGTGGCTTGAGCTACTCATGAGCATCCTTGAGTACCTTTCCAGATATGAATGCAGGCATGTCCTTCTAGTGGGAGAGAATTTATCATGGATTTTTTGGAAGCAGAAGAGCCCTGGTTTTTTGAGATGGAGAATGGCTTGTCTGACAGAAAGTGCCTGTATCAAAGCTAGCATGTGAAGTCTTAAGTCCCAAATCAGAAGAAGATTGGGGTTTTTTGTGTGTGTGTGTGTTTTTTTTTGCCTCATTAGTCAATAATACAATCATGTAGGAAAGAATTTTTCCTGACTCCCAGGGTCTGTGAAGGTACAACCCAAGCACTGAGATTTACTAGTAAAATTTCTGACTTGCTGAGAAGCAAAAATATCATGCTTCATTCATGTATTTATTAGCTTCTTCTGTTTCACAATGCTGTATGATTTATTTTCTAATGTAACTGTAAACTCTGAAGCTTTCATATCTCGTGTTTAGTGATGTTTGATGGTCTGATTTCCTGCTTCTTAACTGATCCAAAAATGTGTGCCAAGAATATGATGCCTGATAGTAACCTCATCTTCCGCTATACAGAGAGAAAAAAATCTTTTGCAGTATATGATAAATATCTTTACACTTCTTTGATGATAGAATAGTCTGATATTTGCCACTTTTTTTTTTTTCTTACTGAAAATAACATCATTTCTTTGGAAGTTACTTAGATGTATCTGGTGGGTGATGTTTGGGTCTGATACCAGTAAACGTATTTATCCCATTCAGCAGATTAATTGTATTTTGCTGTGAAGCACTGAGAGTTGCAGCAGTGTGTACGTCCAGCAGCACCATTGGCTAAATCTACTTGCAACATATGAGGAAAAGAAGTGAATAGACAAGTCAAAGGATACTTTGACAGCTCTGGGCAGGCTGCAATGAGTCTTTAAGTAGTTAGAGGAATTTCCTTCTATTATGAGATCTGACAGTTAGTCCCTCCATCCAGATGTGACAATCTTTTTCTGACTTTTTTTTTTTTCCTAGCATTTATGCCAGACAATTTGATGAAAGAGAGATAACTATGTTCAGAGCAGGCTTTCCATTGCTGTAAAGCTCTCATGTAATCCAGATATCATAAATGTGAATGTAGACACTGATGTTTCGGCTCGGTAAATTCTATATTTGGATATGAAACCTAGGAACAAGGACAAAATTAGGGGTAGTGCATCTGAATCACTCCTTTAAAAAGAAAATTTAAATGACTTGCTGAGAGCATTTGCCCTCTGGATTTTGCTGAAGCAAACTCTCTATCCCAAAACACAGGACACTGGTCATAATAAACCAGAATATAAAGGTGTAGTGAGAAACTCTGTATTAATTCTTGCTGCAATTATGTTACATTCAATGGCGTTTCATTTGAGACAAGGAGCCAGGAAGAATGTTTTTTTTTCCAAGTGAATCTTACTTAGTCTTCATAATGCAAAATTTACAAAGCTATTTACGGAGGATAAAGATGCAGAAAATGGCTGAATATCTGTATTTTCCTATTCTTGCATTAACTGCTAATGGTGTGGCAACCTCAAACAATAGTTTTGAACTGCAGAGCATTTGTCAGTTTAAAATAAAAAGCCAACACCTTTAAAAAATGAAATATTTGAGGCACACTCTAATGTTCGAGCCCAAAAAGGAAAATAAGAAGACTCTAAGTTTCCTGAATCCTGTCCCAATTATACTTCATTTAATAACAGTCAGTGAAATATCTAGTGGCAGGGGAAATGAAACTACATGATTTTATGGGATCATTCATCAAGAACTAATTGAAGCTTTCATACAGTTTAGTGCTGATAAAACACTGTAACAATAAACAATAACAAAATTCACCAGAGAAGGATTTGTTTTGCCGTGAGGAAAATGGTTCGGTTTCATCCTGGGGATTCCTGGTTAAAAGAGTCTCCAGTTTAAAAAGGGATAAGCACAGGCTCCTGTGCATAATGACAGAGTGGGAACTGTGGCAAATGTATTAGTATTGCTCCAGTGGAGCTATTCTCATTGTAAGTATTTGCTATTGTGTGTGGCGGAGGCAAGACGCAGAACAACCAATAGGATTTTTCAAAGTTTGATTTTTCTAAGCAGTTCCCATGTAGTTTTATGAAAAGTAAATTACAAATACAGCACAAGCAACTGAATTTCTGATTTTAAAATTGCTAACTAATCTTAGATTTATTGACTGCAGAAAAGTTGTTTTTTTCCTGTATTACTTTATGGAATCAGGTTAGTCTTACAGTGGTAGTTCTTTCTAACACAAGCTAGAGTAATGTCCTGTCAGTTCTTAAATTATAAAACACCATAAAACATGTTGACCCTGTATTTCTGGTCTATTTTCTCTGACCAGAACATTTTGGCAGTACAGAAACACAACAAAAATTATCAAGAATAGATTAATTTCGGTTTAAATGAAATATTGAATGTTTCATCAATCTTCATCAGAAACCCAGAGAAACTCCTAGGAAGGTGGCACTGTAGTTCAGTGGTTCCAGACTTTGCAAAAGGCACCTCAAGCAAATCACTTCAGTTCTTGTCTTCTCCTCCTCCTTCTGCCCTCTTTAAGTGCAAATCCTGCTATGATCATAAAGTTTCGTGTCACCTGTTTGTAGAACATGCTGTCCAGTGAGCCTCTTTTGTCAGTTAGAACTTCTGGATGTACCAAAAAAGTGAAATAAAAGTGTAATAAATAACATTAATGAGGCACATATATATAACATAATAATAAAACATGTATGATTTCATGCTAGATCATGCAACAGGAAACAGGATGTTGAATGCCAGTATGCTTGTAAGGGTTGATTTTCTGCTCACTTTCGTAATTTCTGAGACATTCCAACTAATTGATCTTTCTGGAAGATCATATCAGAGAAGAGCAGGAGAAGCAATCATATTTTGATAATTAAGTCCACCCCTTCGGTGTTTTTTAATTGGAATTACAGATAATATATACCTATAGATACACACTCCTGAATTTTTTTGTGTGTGTTTTTAAAATTTTTTTTAATTTTTTTTTTATTTTATTTTTTTAAGAGAAGCAGAAGACTAAAAAGACTATCAAATAATATTTGGAGTCTATCTTCTGTGTCTGATCGTAAAAAAACCAGAATTGATAGGGATACATTTTTCCTATCACTTATATGTGTACAGATCCATCACCTTAATACAGTAATTGCTATCATGCTCTATGCTATCATGTTAGCCTTTAGTACACCTGCATTTCTGTTGTAGCTGTAAAAGCTATGAAAGGGGACTAGCTCAATCATACTGGTGACCCCAAGATGTGTTACTTTGTACCTGATGGTGGATAACTTTGATGGACCTTCAACGCTCAGGCAGTTTGGGACTCCAATTTTAGAACTGCAAATGTAAAAGCAAGGTTCAAATTTTGGCCAGTCAAAAACTGGAATTAATTGAATCTACCTCCATATCTCACAGGATGGGAATGTCTCCAAAGCTCAGAAATATTTCATCTGAACTTAAATCAGAGATGATGCATAAATGAAGTTAAGACAAGATACAGCTCTGACTGATCAATCTTTGGAAATTGTTTAAGGGTATATGCCTTTAATTCTCTGGTATGAAGAGCTTGGAAGAACCCTGAGCTTTCTAAGTTTTATGTGTTATCAAATATTATTTTTCTATATAAGTTGAACTGCTATTTATCAGAATAAGGCAACATTTTCTGCATTTCTTTTACCTCAATAAAGTTTATTAAAAATAATCATATAATATTTCATATTATAGTAAAATAAAGAAGCTGTAACTTTTGGATATTGTTATTTTCCCTGGTTATATAGTTAAGCAAAAAGTTACTTTCCAGAGACAATGAAAAGATACATTATGTCTTTAGGATTGTCTTTTGCAATTTTTTTGAGTTTGTGAATTGTCACGTATTCCAAGCATTTTGCACTTCTGTTGTCTCTTTAAAGTTTCCTTTTTCTCTTAACCTTTCAGTTCCTCTCTTAATCTTTTTTTCCATAGATTCTGAATAAATATTTCCATCTTGGTCAGCATAGGCTCAAAACCATAACCCATGTTTTGGACCTGCCCCCAAAACCCATGTTTTGGCCAGATTCTCAAGGGGAAAGCTGCACCAAATCCAGACACCATCAGATGGTCACTAAAATGATGCAGTATTTGGCATTGTCTCTGGGGACTGTTTGTGCTCCAGTTGACTAAGCTATATATAGCACCTACCTCTTCCATTATCCATACTTGAAAAAAGTGGAGATGGAATGAGCAGATGTGGCAGACCATCACTTCACCTATCCTTTCCTGCTCTGCATTACGTGACCATGCCCATTTCTGAGAACAAACTTCAAAGCAAGACATACAAATTCCTGTGCTGATATGTGACAGAAACTTTGGTTGACAACTTTTGTGTACATTTTGTTACTTTTCCAAATGTTTTGGAGGAAAATTGCGTGTATCATTGTGATACATTATTCTTCTGCATAGCAAGCAGGTCTTTCTCTTGATTTCAGTAGGACTCTTCCCAGCATCCCTCTGATTCCCAGATACAACCCATTCTTTATGAGAAGAGCATGCACAAGACATCCAGGTTTTTCAAAGTCCAAGTACTGCGTCTTTCTTAATCAATATGCACTCTGACATTTTTACTTTTTAGTTCTATATGGCTAACTATGTTTATTGAACTGTCTTCTAATTTTGGCTTAGTGCAAGAAGTTAACCTTTGAATTTTGATAATTTTCAGTGTTTTCACTGATTTGTAAGCTGCTTTTAATTTGCCCAGAAATATCTGTGAACTGATCACAATTAAAGTAAGATGTTAGCAGATAAAACTAGTGAAAGATTGATTTCTACCTTGTATTATATTCATAATATGCTTTTATTTTTTTAATTAACTCTAATTAGGAAATACATAAAGAAAAAAAAAGTGGGAACTCCTGTGAGCAGAATCAATAATTTCTATCCAGTGACCATTGCTAAGGCTGCCATTGAATTTTCACTAATAGTGTAAGTACCCTTAAATTTAAGCCTGGATTCAGAAAAAACATTTGGGTTTATCACTAATTCCGACTGATGTAGACAGGTGCCTAATTAGCAGGATATATTAGGACTACCCAATTGCTCTAAATTGAACACAGGCTTAAATGCCTTTCTGAATAAACCCTTACCATCGAAACCAAACCATGGAAACAACTCAACTGCCCTGGAATCAGCCACATTTATCTATTATATGATGAATGGAAAGCTATCTGAAGGGTAGCAGTTGTAGCACTGATAATATAGGTACTTGAGGAATGGAAGCTATCGCACCAAGATGTGCATGTATGTGCATTCTTTTATGTGAAAAATAGGTGTAAAATTATACATAATGAGTAAAAATAGGATGCATTTTTGTGTAAACTCCTCTCATGCACAAAAATGAAACAGAGAGAAAGCATTCTTTGTTACTTCTTGTCTATAGGTATTCCGCTACTTCTAGGCAGGGAAATTAATATAGGAGCAATGTAAAAAATTTATCAGGTGATTTATCTTTCTATATTATTAATAAAAATATGCAGCCTATAGTGCTCGCCTTTTAAGTACTTTAAGTCATATGTGCTTGAAGTTTTGCATGTCTTTCGTATAATGACATTAGGCATTTAGTTGTTCCTAGTCTATGCTGTGCATGACTGACAGGATAGGGAGAGAAATTCCAAAATACTATTTATTACTATTTACTAGTACTTAACTTCAGCTTGGTAAGTTTAAATTGTTCTAACTTCTTCTGAGGGACTTTTTCAAGTGACTGATATTTCACAAGAAGAGAAGAGTACTCCATATATGATTTTCTTCAGGTCATGTTTCTTAAGGCAAGGCAAGCTGTAAAGAGTTTCAGAGCAACGCACATATGCACCTTGATGATCCTCCCGTCCTTGTAAGATTTCTACATGGCTAGCTGAGTTAGCTTTATTTATTTTATTTTTATTTATTGTCAACATCAGGCTGTATAAACTGGGAAAACAAGGAACATTATCACTAAGCTTAGTATATTATATTGATATCTCCTAAAAGAGTCAGTTGTGGAATTTAGGATTAAATGTACCTAATCTAATTTCCAGTGCCTGCAGTGACAATACCTATATCCTAGTTCGTCACCCTAAATTCCTTCTTTAGTGGAATGTCACTTTCATGTCAGTAGTACTCTGATTTATATTTACGGATATATTTTTGGATACAACTAACATCGTATTATAAATATCTATATTTAGTCAAGCGAAAACCTATCTGTGGTATCTTAATTATATACAACTCTTTTGCTTTTCTACTGAAAGAGTTGCTTCAGGGAAAGCCCTGATGCTGCTCTTACAGTGTTTCAGGTTCTGTTTTGTATGACAGAAATAATAGTAACATTTGAGGTGGTAGAATAATAAGCAAATCAAATAAAGAAAAGCCCTGGCCTTACCTGGGATCAGAATGCCTCCCATTAATTTATCTGGGCTCCTTTTACAGAGGCTGTATCTGACTGTGCTCTTCCTGTTTCAAAGATATAGCAGAATGCCTAGAGAAAGGAATAATAATAATAATAATAATAATAATAATAATAATAATAATGAAAAGACAGGAATAAAAGACAGAAATAAAATACTCTGTGTTCAACAGTAGACAACATAAATAGAAAAACAGGACCAAATGGGCTCACTTTCATTTCATCAGTTGTATCACAGCTAGAGGAAACTGTATAGTAGATATTTGGTTCAGAAAAGTCTACAGTATAATCTACTATATAACAGAACAATTCCCTGTTCCCTAAAAATTGCTTACAATGTGCTAAAGCACAAGAAAACCCCATAACCAGAATATGCCAGAAGAAGACAGATCAAACATTTCAGCAAAATCCTAAGTGGTAAGGTAGTATGTTAAAGAAAATGCAGATATTACAAGGCAAAAAGAAAAAAAAAAAAAATCCCAAACGGTAACTATGGGTGAGCTGGGGAAAGCAATTCCTGGTGACATAAAATCTGTCAAATGGTTTAACCCTGAGAAAGTGAGCAGGGCCCCAAACACACACCCAACTCATCTCATTTATTTACAGCGGGAGTCCACCCTGCTTTCTGCATTGGATCACAGCTGCTTTCCAGACCCTGGGAAGGTTACAAAGACTCACAAACCATAGCTACTCCACACCTTGAAGGCTCTCCCTGCACACTTCTGGTGCCTACAAAGCCCATGGGGAGGACTAATAACACCTAAAAGGTGTTATGAAGCAACAGAGCTACAGGTTCATTTCAAATCCTCCTAGAGACACCACGACCTCAAGTGCCCTAGACCTCCAAGACCCACTCCTTTCTGCCTCAAATGAGTGCTGTCACTGTGCTACAAATTACCGGAGACAAGGAGGGTACAGCGGAACTACTGTTACGCTCCCCATCCCCCCCCCTTTTTCTGTTTTTTACACAATCCCTTCCCTATTTTCAGTCTAAATTTTAACATGTTCCTTGACTTGTTAATCTGTTTGTGAGGCTGCTCTAGCGTTTTACCAGATAACTAAAAAACAATCTCAGATGGAATAGTTTTAATTTCCAGTCTGAATTTATTTGTGACCAATTTGTAACCATCTAATTGTGTGCCTGCACTAAATGGGAGTTTTCCCATTGAGTGTAATTGGATCAGGCCCCAAACCGCAAAGACAGCTGCTCTTATTACGGCATGGAAAACAGACAGGGTCTGGGT